ACACACACACATACACAATATTTTCACAGGTACACATATAGTGAATCGTATGTGTACATTTTCTACTAATTGTTTTTTAATTATTTTCTTTTCGTTTTCTTGAATGAACAATGCGGTTTAATTTAATATTAGTTTATCAATATTCTATTTTCTTTATAATATAAAAATATATATATATATACCGGAGGTTTATTATGTACCGCTTATAAATTTTTTTTGTAGTATTATTACTTTGTATCATACAACTGTTTCTGATTACTGTCTGTACTATGACCGAGAGGCGGAGCCAGGAGTGCCATAGCACAGGTTACACCTAGTTTGGGCTCCTGTCTCCCATTTTCATGCTCTATTTAAATTTATTTTTACATCTATCTTGTACATTTTGGGAGAAAAATAAATGATATTATTATTATTATTATTATTATAACATATTTTGTTCAATAACAATAAATTACAAAACATGAATACTTAGTTACATTAGTTAGCGTCTTAACTATAGTTAATACTACTTAACTACAGATGCTAAATTTTCAGTGTCATTGTAGTTTAATCCTTTTAGCTAGTCTTGTATAGTTTTCTTACATTATCCAGCAGTTTGGCGACTGTGCCGCCCGTTGCCCCGTCTGTCGCCATCGGGCGCTTGTCAACGTCGGATCTGTATAAATTTTCTCTGTCCGCTTTTATTTTATTCATGTTAATTGTAAGCGCGCGGATTGCGGGACGCGAGTGCGGTTACCCACAGCTCACATCCTAGAATCCAGGCTAGCGTTCAAATACCTCGCTTTAAATCATATCTCTACAGATCGATTAGAAACGTCACTAACGTTACTACTTATTCATTGGATACTTTCTGTAGAGAGGACCGGTACCTTGTAATGAGTCATGTAATGGACTGATGATATTATTTGAGCATCTGTTTCTATCCAATCGGATCGAACGAATTTTGTTTTCACGTCACTAGCTCAGAAAGGCTTTCTTTTTCATTAGAAATCTGCGCGTAAAAACGTTATTTCCACGCTAGCATGGGGGTTTTTGAAAGGTTTTTAAAATTCGAACTTGACGATGTGGACTGTGGTGCGCCTAACTTTTTCTTTCGACGAAAAAGAACATAATGACACGTTCAATTACGCGATTTGTTCATGTAATATAAATCCGTTGGTATATTTTATTCTTATTATTGTTAGCATTAAATTGACAACGACAAGTAATTTTGTTTATTAAAACTGATTTGTTATAGTTATTTTGCGTCTCGTGTCTTGAAACCCTCGCTACCCTCTGGATATTCATGGTTTTAACATACGATTTAAATCTAAATATGCTAGAATCAAAGTGAAATTAATTTGGTTTAGTGTCGACCTAAATAATAATAATTAAGTAATGCATTTGGATTTCTGTGCCGGTTCACTGGTTCTTGAACCCGGGGTCCCTGTCTACGACCAGTCAGAAAATCGCTTCTCATATTCAATATTCATCTTTTAGGCTTTGAGAGACGAGAATCTATAACATATACCCTTTACTTATACTTTCACAAAAATAACATTGCTTATACAAATTATTTGGAAATATAATACAAATTATTTAATAGCAGTACATCTATCTCCCTGTGAAAGTGTTATGAAAGAGTGATCCATTATTATATGAAAAGGTTTGGTTAAAATTCTAAAGCAATCACTCAATAAATTGAATAAATAACACTTTCACGTATATTTCGATGTTTTTGACTTGACATCTCATCACTTTTCCAACAATATTCATTTGAATAATATCGTAAAATAGTATTTGATCGGTTCATTCAATTAAAGATTTCGTAATCGATTAGTAAATCGATAATTTCAAACGATCGTATCTAAGTGTAAGAATTTGAAGGAGGATTTAAAATTTAAGTTTCGGAAGATTTAAATATGCTTTTATAGGTTATGTAAGGAAAACCGCTAGTATGAGTCAATTGAACAAATCGATTCATTCAATTAATCAATTTGTAGTTGGCAGTAAATTTGACCATCACTAAACCGTGTGGGGCCGGGTCAGCAACTTGTTTGTTCACTTTTTGTTTCAAGTGGATTGTAACCAAGTGTACAACCACCAAGTATACCACCACGTGGGCACTCTACATTACACTCCCCACACACACACACACAATAATAGACAAAAATATATTGTAAATAGTAACAATATTTTATATATTTTTGTTTGGTTAAGCTACTTAATTAAGTTTATTTTGAAACGTGTACCCTAGAAAGAGCGGCGCCTCCTGATACAGGCTTTAAAGGAGGCTCTAGCCACTGTTATTTAAGAAACCATGTTTAAAGATAAATAAAGATTATTATTATTATTACGCGGGCGACTTGTTCGTCCTGTCACTTGGTCTCATAAAAACAAACTATTTAAGTCTCTTCTTTGTGTGATAAATAATGTAATAATTGTCATTCTGGTTATACAGGCTGTATATTTGAAAGTGGGACATATTTATACATGTCATAGTAAATCA